CATCCATAAAGCAGAAACTAAATAATTTATTACATGGGTGGATAAAATAAGGAACTTCATTCTTAGGGAGTTTAATGTATTCCTCCTACTGCTCCTTCTCCTGGCAGAGCTGAGCCTGCCTGGGGCCTGAGCTCCTCTCTGGGTGTGTGGTGACAGCTCTGCCTGCTCTGGGCACGTGCACACCAGGAGAGGGGGGGGAGTTTTCCATGGGAAAAGCATTCCCAGGAGATGGTTTGCTCTTTGCAACAGGCCAAGTGTTTTTCGTGATAAAATATTCCTGTGCTTTCCATGGAAAAAGAAGGATTTGCCAGGGGCTGCTTTGCTGATCCAAACACACCTCAGCCATTCAAAGCTTTCCACCTTCGCTTGATTTCCTTGCTTGCTGCCCTGGTTTTGGACTTAAAACCCAGTTTACTTGGCCCCAGCTGGGTAAAAAAGCTGGGTATCCATGTACAAATCCTTTTTACAAAGTTTCTGGAAGTCTCCCGTGGAGAGCAACCAACATCCAGCCCTCCCAGGGCACCAGGTCCAACACGGGAGCTCCCAAAAACCTCTGGATTAAAAAATCTCTCCAAATCACCAGATGAAACCCAGATGTTCAGCTCTTCTGCTCCAGGTGACCCCTGTCCTGGGGGTATGTCAACTCTGAAGGTCTGTGAGCCTTGAAGGTCTGTGACCCCCTTCCCCAGGTCAGGGTGTCTCCTGCCAGGAACTGGCAGGTCTGTGTGTCCCCGTCAGACATGACTTTGTCAACTCTCCTTCATCCTCCACGACCTCCCCAGCAGGAGGACCAGATTCTCCCTAACAAAGCCAAGTCTTCCCAGTTGCCCACCCTGTTTGATTCTTTACATCCCTGTTGATGTTGCTCCTGATTAGAAGTGACTTCTCAGTGGTTGGACTCGTGGAGAGGATCAGGCTCCAGCGAGGTCCTTGGGTGGCACAGCAGGAGCCTGGTCCCCAGGGCCACCACCACCATCATGGAAACACAGAAACAGAATATTCTGAGTTGGAAGGGACCCACAAGAACCATCAAATCCAACTCCTGGCCCTGCACAGGACAACTCCAATATCCTGCCTGGAATCTCATCCTGATTTTCTTCATGGCTGCCCCTAAGGTGTGGTTGTGGACCTGACAGGGGAGAAAAGTTCTTTTTGCTGGAATTCTCTTCTCCCTGGTCTCCAAATTATTTCAGTCATGTGCCTGCTGTCATTTGATTTCATGTCATGTGCCTGCTGTTCCCCCCTCTGGCTTCTCCAGGAGCAGGGAATGAGGGTGTACCCTCAAAGCCAAAGTTAGTGGTTATCAGTGGCACAGCCCAGTGATGTCCCAGCAGGAACAACCCAAACCCTTTCATCAGAGATCAATCCCTGCACGGAGAAACCACCTGAAGTGTCCTCTCCAAGCCTGGCAGAGCTCAGGCTGCATCGATTTCCCTCACTCCTGAGCAAACCAAAGGCCTCTCTCAAGTTAAAACAACCACATCCCTCTCCAAGCCTTCCCAAGCCGAGCCAAGCCAAGAGAGTTTAGAGAATCATAGTCATGGGATATCCTGAGTTGGAAAGGACCCCCAAGGATCCTGGAGTCCAACCCTCAGCCCTGCACAGGCCCAGCCCCAAGAGTCACCCCCTGTGCCCCAGAGGATCAGCCAAACCCTCCCTGAGCTCTGGCAGCCTTG